AGAGGACTATATATAATATATCACTGAATCAGCAGGAGAAACAGCCGACTGTCGTTTCAGGACAATTACAAAAACATTTCTAACCATGAAAAGAAACCAGTGATCAGTTTATTGATCTGCTCTGCTTCAGTTCGATAGGAACACGTACATTGAGTTTGTCTTTATTTTAATATAATTTAACATATACGTGAATTCTGTCCACAGAGAGATTTTAATATCAGATAAAGGAGGTGTTGAGTTTAAACATTGCATTTATTTATATTTTTAGTATTTGATTTTTTGTGATTCTTATGCACACCAAGGCAAATTCCTCCTATGATAATAAACCTGATTCTGATTCTGAACAATTGTATTCTGTTCTTGCTGCTTTGATCAGTTAATGAACCAACCTGCCTCTATTATGAATACTGAACCAAAGTAAGAAGTTCTGCTTTAAGTTTACAAACATTTTCTTTTAATTTATGCTGAAATATGATTATCCATGTATATCAATCACTATTATCAGGAATTTTTTATACACAAAATTAAAATGCTGCATCTCTTTATAAACATGCTTTGATCAAGTCACCATTTTATCAATTAATTAGCCTTTTGTTAAAACTAGTATAATGTATAGTATGATAAAATAAGTACCATGTTCATGCAAATGTTTTATGTTATACTTAAAGACCACAAAAACCACAATGCCAATTCATCAAGGAAAATTTTTTTATAAATGCATATAAATGTTTCAAAGAGGAAAATCTTAGTCTATTATTTTTATAATGCTATAAAAAAAACTTTATAATTCAATATCGCAACATGAATTACATACAGTCAATACTATAAGCCCTTAAGATGAAATGTTTTTAAGACACTATGCAAGTAAATGTAATATTTGTAAGATTATGCTGACATACACTACTGGAAAATCAAAAATGTCCATTAATTGATATTATCTTCTTTGGGAGGTTCCGACATGTTGGTTTCCTATGACCCGGATGTTAACAGTTATTATTTAGTAATATCAGCGGTGGAGGAAGTACTCAGATACCACACTGTAAAAGTACTCCATTACAAGTATTTATACTCTCACTGAAGTAAAAGTAACTTATCTATTCATTAATTGCTTTGTAAAGATCCTGAAGTTCACAGTAACACTTTCACAGTTCATTCAAAGGAAAAACAGCTCATTTCCACATTTGTGAGCTTTCACCAACAACAGTAATAATAACACACACACACATTTTACACTGACTGAAAGTATTAATAATCCATCAGTCTGTATCAGTCGGTGCTTTAAAGCTTTTTATATAATACCTTCAGATATTATAGTAATCTCAATGGGTGGCCAGATCAATCACCAAAGTATCAATACTACTGATATAAAGTCT